CTCTGGGTGGAGTGACTCATATATGTGTCCACCTTCTTGAGATAACGCAGCAGGGTCTCTAGGCGGCCGCCTTGGAGTCGCACCAAACTTGGCTGAAATCCTCCCCACCACTTCCCTAGCTGTGTGATCTAGGATTAGATGTCTTAACCTCTATGAGCTCGTTTCCTTCTCTGAAAAAGTGGGGAAAAATGATAGTACCTCCTTTCCTAGAGCTGTTTGTGAGGATTTCAGCAGGGTTACTAGAGGTCATGCTTTTAGCAGGACCCATGGCTTAGAACCTCAGGGTCTCTTCAAGCCTCTTGGGTCACGAAGCTAAGCAGCGCGCTTGTTCAGTACCTGGTTGAGGGAGCTGAGGTTGGTTATATCATCAGTTTCCCCTGAGATCAGAGACTGGCCGTGGCATCAAGCATATGCCCCAAAATAGTTCCCTGGGGGCTCTTACTGCTTCTCCAGAATTCTCTTGGCTGTATTTGTGTCAAGTAGGCATTGGCAGGGGCCAGCTCTGCCTCCTACCTTCACCCTGGCCACCCGCTTGTCCCTGGGCCACTGCCACTGTAGAGAAAAAAGAGCTAGCTGCGGCGTTCCTGGTGGAATCTGGAGCGCCAGGCCTATCCACACATTTGGGCAGAGAGCATGTGGCTGAGGCCTGGCGCCAGGGGACAGCGTTGCAGGGGAGCCAAGCAGCTGACCCTGGCGGTACAGCAAGTTGGTCTTTAAAACACTTGGAATGAGAACTCACCAAGCCTGCCGCTGCTGGCCTCTGCCTGAAGGGCTCCTCATGGTGTGTGTGGGGGGGCGGGGGGGAGTGGGGGGGGCTTTTTCTCTTTGCAAGGCGGGTTCTTGGGTTCTGGGAAGCCTCTGGGTCATTAGGGCCACCTCTGTTCACGGGGTAGTGCAGTCGTGTCCTGGGGACAGGGCGTCACGAGGGACAAGCTGGTGCATGAGCTACAGGGTAAAACCTTCCTTCTGTTCCGTAGAAAATTGTACAAGCTGGCGATAAAGACCTTGATGGGCAGCTGGACTTTGAAGAGTTCGTCCATTACCTCCAAGATCACGAGAAGAAACTGAGGCTAGTGTTCAAGAGTCTGGACAAAAAGAATGATGGTGAGTGCTGCCTCCGGAGCCAGGGGCTGGCCGCCGCGGTTCTCCGTGGCCAGCTCCCGCTCACGGCCTCCGTTGTTACAGGGCGAATCGACTCTCAGGAGATCGTGCAGTCCCTGCGGGACCTGGGGGTCAAGATATCCGAGCAGCAGGCGGAAAAGATTCTCAAGAGGTGAGTGCTTGCCCGTCTCCGCATTTGGCCCACTTCAAACCCAGTGTGACGAAAGCAGCGTTCTTGGGCTGACTCTGGTGGCTTTCATGTGCTAACCCTGTTCTCTGAACTTTGGCTTCTGGTAGTTTGAAGGGATGAATAAGTAACCCCTCCCCAGGTTGCTAGTCAGCGCTCGCTCGTTTGAAGAATCCCTGATCTCCTGGAAGTGTGCCTGTTCACAGTGACCCCAAAGAAAAAGACTCGTGGGGGAGGGGGGTCAAGTAGGTGAAAGGCAGCAGGGAGCACCCTTCTCTGCCGGTGGGGAGGGGAGGGGCTCACTGGCAGCCCTCCACTTAAGGTGGACTTGACGCCATCATTGATGCGCTGCCCCGAGAGATGGGTCTGAGGTGAGCCGTGGTCCTGGGGGTAGCAGAGCTGCTGCTGTGCTGGGAAGTTGCACAGAAGAGCCCCAGGAGCGCTTCCTGTCCTGGCTGGGCCTCTCCCCATCCCTGTGCCCACTCCCCGGCTGCTGTGGGGGCGCATCCTCGTGCTGTGCTGTGCTGTGCGTCTGCCTCAGTGACATCTCCTCGAGCACTTACTTGTGTTGTTTCTCCTCTCTCCTCTGCTCCTCCTTTGTCTGTCTGTCAGAATACGAACGGGCCACTTCTGGGGCCCTGTCACCTAGTAAGTATCCGTGTCACCCTGGCGACTGCCTCCCTCCTTAACCTCTGCGCCCGATCAGAATGGGGTTCCTGTGGGTCATTATAGCCCATTTTTGTGCCAAGTGAAGTGTGGAGCCATCTGCCTCCTCTCCTCGGGGCAGAGGCACCCTCTGTGGTGTCCTCCGTGGCCGTGTGCCTGCCTCTGGCTCACCGGGAAGGGGGAGTGCGGCTGACAGGTGGGGCCTGTTCACACGTGGGCAACCGTGCGTTCCTCTTGCAGCATGGACAAAAACGGCACGATGACCATCGACTGGAACGAGTGGAGAGACTATCACCTCCTGCACCCCGTGGAGAACATCCCCGAGATCATTCTGTACTGGAAGCATTCCACGGTGAGCCCCGTGCCCGGAGCCTGGGGCCGTTTCTCCCTGTCCGTTCACCGGGTCCCTTCGCCCAGCCTCAGTCCCCATCCCGGGGTGGGGATGGGGTGGGAGTCTCAGCTTGCCTCTCCTTCAATAGTGTGACTGTCCACTCCTCTGCCAGCCCCGCAGAGCCCTCCACATGCCTCCTCCGTTTCCCACACGCCTGCCCACTGGATGGCCTGACCGTTCCCCACACACAGGGCTCCTTTGCCAGCGGTGCCCATCTGTCCCTCTGGGCTGCCTGTTCCTCAAGGCCCACTTCACCCTCCCCTCATCGCACTTGCTCTCCCAAAGCCAGTGTGAGCCTTCTGGGCGGGGCTCTCTCCAGGGAACCAATGGCACAGCTGTTAGGTGTCTCCCCCCACTGCCCCATCTTGTGTGCTGTTTCTCTCTGTGACAAAAGAATATGTTCCCACCACCGCGAGTATGCTCTTTCGTCTCGTCAGAGCTGTCGTTGAGAAACACAGATCCGCCCTCACTGGTAGTGGCCGCACTGACTCCCTGCCCTCGGGCCTCCTGCCTCCTGCATGCGGGATGCGGCCCTCTCTGAGCACCCCCTCGGTTTTAGTCTGATCCACCCCAGGCTGTCAGCTCTGGCAGCGGAGGCCGAGGCGATCCTCCTGGTCAGTCTCCTGCAGTGCCCAGGCCAGGGCCTCACCCTTGGGACACCTGGCCTCTTTGTTGGGTGAAGTTATGTGGGCTGCTGACCCGTGGGTCTGGCCTGCAGCCCAGGTCTGAGCAGAGCTGGCTCTGTCTGACCAGCCAGGACGCCACCCAGAAGAGAGGGTGACGCGCAGGCATTGCACCCCCCTGTATTTGCTGAGGCCTTACATAACGTTCTGCCAGCGCGATCTGATTACACATCAGGTCGCAGGAGAATTTTCACCCCTGGCCTGATGGGTTCAGTACAGCCAGCCTGGCGATCCTCCGCTCTAATGCCTTTGTAAGCTGTTCCTGCAGGAGCTCCCTGGCAGCCACTGGAAGGCTGTCTGCGGGGTTTTGTAGCTGCTTCCTTCCAGCTGTGCTCTCACATGGCACACCTGGGCCTCCCGAAGGCCACAGACAGGGACCAGAGCTTTGCCACCTTCACATGGAGGGGGACTGAGGGGGGGACTAGGCTGGTGCATCAGTTTCCTGCCCAGAGTCCTTGGCAATCTCACCCCCTGGGTGGCCCCTTCTAGACGGTGGAAGGTTATGGACCTGCTGTCCAGCAGCAGCTTGGCCACACGCGTCAGGGCCTGCTTGTTTGATCTCTTGGTCTTCCCTGCAGATCTTTGATGTGGGAGAGAATCTGACAGTTCCCGATGAGTTCACCGTGGAGGAGAGGCAGACGGGGATGTGGTGGAGACACCTCGTGGCTGGAGGTGGGGCCGGGGCCGTCTCCAGAACCTGCACGGCCCCCCTGGACAGACTGAAGGTGCTCATGCAGGTACGCAGGGAAATGGGCCCCAAACCTCTGGTTCCACCCCTGGGCTGCTTTGGTGGGCTGGTCTCCCCTCCCCTCCCTTGTCTGGGGCCCGCTTTGCACCCATATATTTTCTATCCCAATAAATTAGATTGGAATTCTTGCTCAGACAAGGGCAACATTAGACCCAGGCCTGGGCAATGCACGTAGCTGATCTAATTTTATTGGAGGCCCTGAGCCAGGGGTCACGTTACAGGGCTGTAATGAGGACTGGTAAAGTAGTGAGGACGGGGGGTGGCAGGAACCTTTCTGTAGGATTCTTGTGTAGGTGTCGCAGGGGGAAGGTGTGAGCAGATGGTCACTTGGCCCAGACCCCATTATGGCCAGAGGCCTGACTCCACTAGGACAGAGATAAGCTAGACCAACGTCAGGGGCAGGGTTTCAACATCAACCTGCACAGCATTCCCTGTTGGACTTTGGCGTCTTCTGAACGGTGGCCAGTCGCTCCTTGTCCCCTTGTTTGTTCTGGCACCTTCCTGCTCAGAGAAGACGTCATCCTCTCCCTCCCCCTTTGCCCTCCCGGGCTGCCTGCGTTTGGAGCCTGTTGATGAATAATGTGACTGAAACAGGGAAGTGGAGTGGTTCAGGGAGAAGAGCTCTCGGCCTGGAATCTGACCCCATTGGGCCCAGAGCTGTGTGACCTCGGGCAAGTCACTTGGCCCCAGGACTTCATTGCTCTGAGCCCAAGAGGCTTGAGACACATTGCCTTCCTTGTCAGGATTCTTCACGAGTCCCCAGGGATGCTGTAGATATTGGAAGCATTTCACTTGGGTGAAATGACACAATCCTACTGGGTACCTTAAAGTAACCCAGCAGGGGTGGGGCAGTGCGGGGAAGGGATTGGCTGTGGTTGCATGCGTGTGGAAGCTGATCAAGGGTTCATGGGAGCTCATTATATAATTCTCTGCACTGTTGTACATATTTGAAATGTTTCCATAATAAAAAGCTCAAGCTCGATCTTTTTTTCTACTAAATCCTTATCCAAGGATGTTTTTATTGCTCTTAGAGCAGAAGAGTGAGAGACGCAAGAGAACATCGATGTGAGAAACATCGATGGGTTGCCTTCCCTATGCGCCCCAACCAGGGATTGAACCTGCAACCTAGGTATGCACCCTGACCAGGAATCGAACCCACAACCTTTTGGTATACGGGACGACGCTCCAACCAACTGAGCCGCCCAGCCAGGGCAGTTCAATCTTTTAAATTTTAAAAAGTGGTCCTTGTGGAGGTGTTTAGCACAGTGTTGGCACACAGTAGGTGTGGCATGGGGAGATGGAGCTGGGCCTAGAATGGCTGTTTGGTTCTCAGTGCTGTTAGTCTTCAGAATCCGAGAGGAAAGAGCCTGCCTGCCCACCGTGATGGTTGGCCATGGAGGGAAGGCTCTGTGTCGGATGATGGCCGAGTTCTCTCTGACCCCGTCCTTCCCTCTCCAGGTCCACGCCTCCCGCAGCAACAACATGTGCATCGTGGGCGGGTTCACCCAGATGATCCGAGAGGGAGGGGCCAGGTCGCTCTGGCGGGGCAACGGCATCAACGTCATCAAAATTGCCCCCGAATCGGCCATCAAATTCATGGCCTACGAGCAGGTGAGGACCCGCCCCCCAGGTAGTGTTGTCAATTGGCAAAGGGGCAGCAGGGGGACGGGGCGGGGGGGATGGGGGAGGCCTGGGTCTGACCCCGTCTCTGCTGCCATTTCCTTCTATTTCTGGGAAGCGTCACATGGGCCAGGGACACCATGTCTGGGCTAAGCCTGACTGGCCCCGTGAGGAAGGTGGGGCAGGAGGGGGCGCTGGTCTCGGGTATATCGGTTTGTTTGCTCCCTGTTGTAGATCAAGCGTCTTGTTGGGAGTGACCAGGAGACTCTAAGGATTCACGAGAGACTTGTGGCAGGGTCCTTGGCAGGGGCCATCGCTCAGAGCAGCATCTACCCGATGGAGGTGAGGGGCCGCCTTGGTCCTGGGGCGGACCAAGGTGCAATGGGGCGGGCAGTGCACATGGGGATGAGGCTGAGGGGTGGGCCGTGCTCACACTCTGTCGCTTCTGTTGGGTTCTGCAGGTTCTGAAGACCCGGATGGCCCTGCGCAAGACAGGCCAGTACTCGGGCATGCTGGACTGTGCCAGGAAGATCCTGGCCAGAGAGGGGATGGCCGCCTTCTACAAAGGCTACGTTCCCAACATGCTGGGCATCATCCCCTACGCTGGGATCGACCTGGCTGTCTACGAGGTGAGGCGCTAGAGGGCTCAGGCCCCTGAACTGGCGGGAGAGATTCAGAAACCCCTCCTCACGCGTCCCCGCCTGTTGTCTCCATGCCTGACAACCTCTGGGGATGGTGGGACAGGGACAGCACCAAAGAGCGTCCCATCCACTCAGACTCATTGCAAGGGTCCCCTGCAGCCCCGAGTTCCGCCCCAGGTGCCTGGCAGGCAGATCTCGAGAGTACGGTGCCCTGGGGGTTCATTGGGCCCCAGCAGACTCCAGGCGACAGAAGTCAGTTTCTCTGGGGGGTGAGGCCGTGCTGCCTCATCCCCATTCCTGTCTGACCCAGGAATCCCCAGGGACAGCAGAAACAAAGGAGGCGGGCCAGGAGCTCAGCCAGCCCAGGCCAAGCGAATCGGGTTACAGTGGCCTCACAGAGTCATGCGATGGGTCCAGTAATGTTGTCGTCACTCGCCCCCCCTCACTCTGGCCTCTCACGGCCTCGCAAGCTCTCGCTGGCACTTGGCTCATCCCTGCGCCCTTCCCCTTGCAGACACTCAAGAATGCCTGGCTGCAGCGCTATGCCGTGAACAGCGCAGACCCTGGAGTGTTTGTGCTCCTGGCCTGTGGCACCATGTCCAGCACCTGTGGCCAGCTGGCCAGCTACCCTCTGGCTCTGGTCAGGACCCGGATGCAGGCCCAAGGTAAGGCTGGTCCTAGGCCGGTCCCCAGGGGCCCATCTCCCTGGGCAGATTGGGATCCAGGGAGGAGCCGGCGAAAGGCCTCTGATGGACGACCTTTCTTATTTCTGCAGCCTCCATTGAGGGCGCTCCAGAGGTGACCATGAGCAGCCTCTTCAAACAGATCCTGCGGACCGAGGGAGCCTTTGGCCTGTACCGGGGGCTGGCCCCCAACTTCATGAAGGTGATCCCAGCCGTGAGCATCAGCTATGTGGTGTACGAGAACCTGAAGATCACCCTGGGCGTGCAGTCTCGGTGACGGGAGGGAGGACAGCCCCGCCCGGCGGACTCCTGATCCTGGGCTGCAGCCCCGGGATGTGTAGCCATCTCATTCTGTGAATGTGCCGACACTAAGCTGACTGAAGCCAAGCTGTGAAACCCCTGGGACGCACCGCAGGGAGGGTGGGGGGAGCTGGCCGGCCCACTGGGCTTCCTGCTGACCATGGCCCACCCTCGTGTCCATTCCAGGGAAGGCCCGTGGGTATCCCTCGGGTCCAGGGGTCAGCAGGACTCAGGCTGACGCTCAGTAGAGACCGGACGTTTCCTGCAGGGCCTGCCAGACAGCAGGGCTTGGAGGCGGCTTAGTTCTTCCATCTCCTCTTCCCACCCAGACCGTGGGCCACGGGCCCCTGCCCTCTGGCCTGCTGGGCATCTGCCCTGTGCCCACTGCCTCTTCCTCACTGCTGTTTGAATATGGTAGGAGGAGGGCCACCAGCCCACTCCCATGCCCGCCTGCTCCTCCCCCTCAGTCCTCGGGGGAAAGGTGCTTCCACCTGACCTCACACCCGCTGGTTGTGCAGGGAAAGGAGGAGCCGGGGAGTGTGCCCACCCCCTCTGCGCTCACCAGCAGAGGGCGCCGATGCATGCAGGGGCAAGGCCCCGCCCCGCCGTTGGCTGCCTGGCACCGGGTGCATGGCTTCCCCGGAGCCCAGAGGCCTCTGCCCTGCACTGCGGGGGCCTCCTGGTGCTCTGAGCTGCTCCGGGCTCTGTCGGGACTGGCACCAGCTCAGACCCAGCTCCCTGTCCCTGCTCTGGCATGAGGCAGTGGGGTGTGGGGTAACGGGAGGTTTCTGCCCCATGTCTGCGTGCCCCGAGAAGGAAAAGGGCTTGAGGGCCTTAATTAGGTATTTTTGAGGAAAGGGTTTTGTTCAGAAAGACAGACTGGACAAATGTGCAAGCCCTGAGCTTCCGGAGGGAAGACAAAGCGAGTAGAGAGCTTGGCTGATGCATTAAAGTCTGTTCCTGAGGCCCCGGGATTCGTGTCCAATCCCAGCTGGGGCGGTGGGACCAGCCTCACATTCCACTGATGCCACGGATCATGCTCCGAGCCTATTTATTTCGTATTTATTTGAACAGAGTTATGTCCTAACTATTTTTATAGATTTGTTTAATTAATAACCTGTCATTTTCAAGTTCATTTTTTATTCATATTTATGTTCATGGTTGATTGTACCTTCCCACACCCAAGAGGTGGGGTGAGGAGAGGAAGTGGGAGTGGCCTTCCTGCCACTGCCCACACCGTGTCACATCTGTCCAAGGACAGGAAAGGGGCCAGGAGCGGAGGGAGGGGCCCTGGTCCCAGAGAGGGTCCCTGGCCGGGTGGGGAGACACGTGCACACGGGGAGCCTTGGGACCTGAGTGTCCGATGGGGGACGGGAAGGGGGGGAGAAACCTCAATTCCGTTGAAGATGGAAGTCCAAACCCTTTTTCGGACCCGGAGGGTCTCTATTTCACCCTTTCTGAATGACAAGGCAGCGAGGTGCCTATCACTGTGAGTTTGGGGGGGCTAGAGGAGAGGGTGGCAGCGCCCGCCCCACCTGTGAAGTGGGCTTCTCCCTCGCAGCCCCCGCGCCCTCCCCCCTCCCGCCCCCGCTGCCTCTGCTCAGTAGTGCTGGTCAACCTGCAGCCTCACAGTTGCACTTTTCATTCTACCAGAATGGCCCGGTGGGCAGTTTAAATAGGACGCAAAGATCAATGCAAAAATTACTGTCCTGTATAAACATAGTTCTAACTGGAATTTGTGAAAAAGCAAATTAAGAAGAATTGGGAGTTGTCATTTAAAACAGCCTCTAATAAAGTTGTTTGAAAGCCGATGACAGAGCATGATTTTTCTGATCTGGGCTTGGGTGGTGCGGGGGTGTTCCCATGTTAGAAAATGAGCCCAATTTTTTCATCATAAAAAACAAGAAAGCCAAACACACCCCTCCATGTTTCTCAGAGATGCACCTCCTTTAAAATGTGTGTTCGCTGGATTTGGGGTGCTCTGAGGGCCACTGGCGGCCCCCTCAGTCCTCTGACTCAGCCCCTCTCCTGCAAAGCTGGCTGCTCCCTCCTGCTTGAAGCGGCTCCAGCCACCACCTGCTTCCCCTCATGGCTGCCCCTCCCCAGCCTCCCAGTCGGTTCCTGGTTCCTGGTTCCTGCCCTTCTCCTGCTTGGAGGTGTTGGTGGCCCCACCTGGCTTTATTTGCTTTCTGCCTGTCACCCCAGGAGAGGATGAGCCACTGGGGGCGGGGTTGTATTTGCAGCCCTAAGAGAGTGCCCGATGCACAAAGTATTCAATAAAATGCGTATTAAATAACGGTCCACGCTCTGATCCCGATAGCCTGGTGCCGTGGGTCGGGGACAGTGGCGAGAGGCTGTGGGGAGGCACGGAAGTGTGCCGTGGGTGAACTGGCACGTGGCACTGGTACGGGGTGGAGAGTGTGTCTTGCTCTCCCTGATTTAGCATCTGTTTCCCAATGTGTGTCCACTGGGAGCCTCAGAATGTGGCTTTATTTGGAACTAGAGGTTTGCAAAGTATCCCAGTGAAGATGAGGTCATACCTTACTAGGGTGGGCCCCAAACCCAGTGACTGGTGTCATAGAAGAGGGAAATTCCCACACAGACGGAGACACCGAGAACGCCACGTGACCACAGGCAGAGGTCGGAGCGGGGCATCGTCAGGAAGGATCCGTGCTGGCGGCCACCGGCCTGCCGACACCTGCATTTCAGACTGCAGCTCCTGAGCTATGAGAGAAGGGCTTTCTGTTGTTTTAGGCCCCGACTTGGTGGTGAGTTGTCAGTCCTAGGAAACTAATATGCCATTTGCCTCAGCTGTTGTCAGGGTTACAGGCATAAATCATTTCCCAATCATTGGCAAATTGGTGCCCCCGCCCCCCAACCTGCTATCCTCAGTTCTCTCAAGCTCAGAAGTTAACCTTGGGAGCTGCTCTGACGTGGCCAAAGCTCAGCCCACCAAGCCTGCCTCCTCCAGGCGTCTCCCTCATCCCTCCGTCTCCTCGCATGTCCCCTTCTCACCACGCCTTCCCTCAGCTCCCTATTTAAAATGGTAACCTCCGTGCTCGCTTCGGCAGCACATAGACTAAAATTGGAGGCAGCTGATCAATGTTTTTCTCCCTTTCCCTTCCTCTCTCTAAAAATAAAAAATAAAAAACAACTGTTTAAATGTAACCTGTTCCCCCACCCAACCAGCCCCACGTCCTTGTAGCCTTCTCCCTAGTTGCTCACCACCAACTCTACTGGGCTCTCTCTCACTCCTTGGTTTAGCGTCTGTCTCCTCCGTGAGAGTTGGGTGTTGGCTTTCTTCACTGCTGTTCCCAGCAGGTGCTGGGCACCCACTTGGTGAGAATGAGCAGTTACTGGTTGACGGAAACCCATCCAGACGTCTCATGGTGTGGAGGGCAGAATGACGCCCCCTCCCCAGGGTGTCGGAATTAGGTGACATGGCCAAGGGCAGTAAGGCTGCAGGTGGAGTTAAGGTTGCTGATCAGCTGACCTTAAAATAGGGGGATGAGCCTGGGTTATCTGAGTGGCCCCGAGGAATCACAAGATCTTTGGGTGGGAGAGGGAGGCGGGGAGAGGACAGAGAGGTGAGGCGAGGACTCTGCCCAGGTCCCTGGCTTTGAGGACGGAGACAGGGCCACAAGTGCAGGGTTGCAGGCGCCTCTCGGAGCTGGAAAAGGCCAGGCACAGATTGAACCCTGGAGCGTCCAGGAGGAAGGCCGCCCGCTGACACCTGGAGCTGAGCCCAGCGAGCCGCACTGCGGGCCTGACCTCCAGATCTGCCTGTTGGAAAGTCAGAGGAGACTGAGTGGAGATGTCTGGTCCTTAATAAGCAGCTTCGTCTCCCAGCTCCCTCCCCTCCAGGATTCCAGACACACGGAGTCATTTCCCCCGAAATGCTCTTCATTCCGCCTCCCAGGGAGGCGCCTCACATGGCCTGGGATCTCCGGCATCTGAAAGGAAGTCCAGCCAGTGGGGTGACTGGGGGTGGAGGAGCCACGTCAACCTCCTTCCGGAAGCTAGAGGTGAAAGGTCACCTCTAATTCCTGGGAATGACACTTATGGAGCACCAGCTGGGTTAGCCCCTGGCAGTTCTAGGAGGTAATTCCGCCACCACGTCCCTCCGTCCGTCCATCCGTCCGTCCGTGTGCTGCATGCCTGGGGTGAAGGCAGGGGGCTGCACGGGGGCTGGGACGGTGCCATGTCCACTTCTGGGACCTTCCCCGAGGGGCCCCTGGCCCCTGGCTGCTCTCCCGTGCCAGGCGGCTGCAGAGAACCTGGGGGGGCACCTGTGAGTCAGTCCTGGCACCGTGGCAGTGGGATCATGGGCAGATCTCATGCTCTCTGAGCCTCAGTTTTCTCACGAGCAAGAGGGGCCCAGAACCTTCCTTACAGCTCAGAGGGAAGGACTCCTCCAGGTTCATGCCGGGAGAATGCTGAGCTGAGTCAAACCAGCTTTGCTGACTCTGAGGCCATGTTCTCAACCTCAGCTCCTGGCTGGGCTGCCCCATCTCACCGGTCTGATCGGGCTGGAATGGAGGGGAAGGGTGAGAGGACCAGCAGCCCTGAGCCCGGCCCCGCTGCCCAGGTGTGGACCTTGCTCCCTGGCCTCCGGGGCGGACGAGGAAGCTGGGGCAGACCAGCGAGGCCCAGTCACCGTGGCCGGAGAGGCCGGCCAGGGCTGGATGGAAGGGCGGGCAGAAGGGGGGGTGACGCAGTAGGGCAGGGAGGAACCGAGAACGAGGAAACTGAGGCGAGCGAGAGCCAGAGGCCCGGCCCAGTCCCCCGGGGGAGCAAGATAGACCCAGGCCTCCTGCTCTTGGCTCTCGGCCAGGTAGTG